TTGCCTCTGTCTGCATTGACGACCATTCCACAAGGCACACCTTTCCCATATGTGATTTACTCATGTGTGGCCTCTCCGATTTACGGTATATATCAAAAAGTCCAATCTCCTTTGAGAGATGAATGACTGAAGAATGCACAAAAGGAGTCATCTTATAGCTGCTCGGAGCCACTTTGTGCCTCTCTTTGACGGGTTCGATTAAGTTTTTGTCAGTGAAATCCTTGAGAACTTCCCTCACAGCTTCTTCAGCTCCTTCAACAAGGAGAATCTCCTCTCCTATCCACCAATACTTCAGCATTGTTCTATGAACTTCTCCGTTTCCCGGGAACACAGCGAAACTCAAGAGGCAGATCTTCCGTTCAGTCCCAAGCTCCATAAATGCATGTTTAACTTCTCTGAAAGCCTGCAATTTGGTGAGAACTTCCTCATTTGCATGGAGGCCGGGAAGGTCTATAATTCCTTTGCCATTACCACCTTCGTCTAACGATTTCTGTCTTGCCAGAGTGTGAAAAAACGGGGGAAGCTTGCTCACCAAATCAGAGATCTTCTTGGCAATCTCTCCTACATCTCTCTTCATCCCGTCGGAAATGCGAGAAGAATACCCGTGAGAAGATAACTGGTAGGATTCCATTTGCATAAGATGTTCCTCAAGAAGAGGACAATGTCTAAGAAGCTCTGTATTTACCTCTTCCTGAAGCTCCTGCAGGTTTATAAGCCTATCCTTGACCAGTTCGAGATGATGACGTAGCCTCAATAAGAGGTTATCATTACTTTCGAAATGATAACGTAGTCGGAACGGAGAAATTGGGCTATTAATCTCATTCGCTTCGTACTCGCCTCTTGCTTTCTGCTCTCGGATTGGCATTTTAAAAAGGTTTTTCAAGCCATCCACTATAGCCAAAAGATTCTGGACCTCTGTATTTGGATCATCACTATGGGAAGCCATGACGTGGAGAACTTAGGTAACAGTCAAAACCCCTTTGCTTCACCAGCTCTCAAAGTAAGTACACCCAACTCATCTTCCCTACAAATCAAGAATTTCTAATCTGAAATCATGGAAGGAAAAGAGAAAAGCTGATATGCAGTAATACCTCCTCCTCTTCAGCGGCCACACCAAGAGAGATCTGATACAGAATGGAATTACTATATTGATATTTAAAAAAACAAATCTCAAAAGTCATATCTTCGATCTTGAATAAGCCTAAGCAAGTCCCTTAATTTTATATTAATAGATCTTGAATGAGAAAGTCATTATTTTATAGGAAGGAGCAAGAGAAAGAGCAAAAGGTTGAAGAGCGCCACAAAACATCCCCATTGCCCAGAAGATATCTGATCTTGACGCCTTTACTGAGCTCAGTGGAGATTTCTTGAGGTTACTCTCTTCCCTCTCCGTCGTTTCTACATTCCTTGATGTATCTGTATGACTGAAATCACCAATGAGTCAATGACAATCACTGCTTCCACATTTGAATAACCGAAAATAGGAAACCTTTCAGAAGTTATACTATCTATGATGTCGTCCATTTTCTAATTTTCTTCAAATTTTTTATATTGCATACTTGTACCAGAAATGGATACAGCTAGACCGCGCCAAGAAAGGAAACCAGAAAAAGATACAGCTATATCGCGCCAAGAAATGAAGGATCTGAATCTGTGTAAGAAGATAGTGGAAACACTGGGTGGTGAAGGTCCTCAAAGGGTTGTCCTGATTGGAAAATCTGGAATCGGTAAGACACGGCTGGCACAAAAGGTAGGTGAGTATGCAGCTAAGGAAGGCTTGTGCTACTTGACTCTCTGTTTGCATCTCAACAAGAGGTTTGACGATGAGCTCTCGCTTTATGAGAACATAGCTTTCCAAATGGAAGTGTACGATAGAGAGGAGACCAAGGCAAAAGACTTGTTGAAGGAGAAGATAAGTGCAGAGCTCAGCAGAAAGAAGAGAGATGAGGACAAAATAAAGCTTGTGGCTGAGAAAAGTGCTAAGAAGTTGGCTCGAGGAGAGAAGAAACAGACTTCAACTGCTGCAACAGTGCCATATCTGCTATTGATACTTGACGACGAAGGAAACAAGACAAGTGAAGATAAGGTGATGAAGGATTTGGGCCTTGACAGTTTCCTTAATGAATATGAATCAAATCTAAAAGTTCTTATTACAAGAAGAGAAAGAGAAGGGAACACTACAGAGTGTGATGACGAAATTAAGTCACGGGATACAAAGAGTGAGGATAACACTGAACCCTGTGACCTAGAAGAGCCACATGATACAAGGAGTGAGGTAGTAGCTGAGCCAGATGCAGATACAAAGTTTCACGGGGAAATTGAGTTCCATACCACAGATGAGTCACAGGCTTTACATGAAACCCTTACCGAGGATGGCATGCTGGATTTATTTGAGTCCCTTATTGAGGATAAGTCAAGGCATTTGCTTGAGTCCCTCCAGAAAGATTGGAAGATTGTGGTGAAAAAAAGCATGAGTTTTCCCGCCGCAATCGTCGTGCTTGCCAAGTCCTTAAACTGCATTACTCGTCAGAAAGCTTTCAAGAGCTTTTCTCCAAAACAAGAGAAGGTTTTAAAGGAAGGTTTATCCCACTGTGAGCCAGCCTGTTCAGATTCTGGATACAATCCTATTCTGCATCTTGCTTATGAGCTGTTGGAAACCGATGATGCATTGAAGAGTGCCATCATTGATTGTTTTTGGCATAGTTTGGACTTTTTTATGCACTGTGGCTGCGTTTATTACCGTCACTTGATCACACAATGGATACTTGAAGGCTACTTTGATCCGGTTCGATCTGTTAAGAAAGCTTATAAGGAAGGTCATGATATCTTGTTGGAGCTTATAAACCGCGGTATTCTAAAGACGCAAGAGGATGATATGGTTGTACCAGAGATGGCAATGAGCAATCTAATCGATCTTCGTCTTCATGGGCTCTTAGGCAGATCTCGGCTCCGGTTTGCTAGGGTTTATGGTGATGACAAGAAAGGTCTAGGGAATATCACCCAGATAGATGATATGATAAAAACGGTGCAAGCCAAAAAAGGAGAAAATATTTTCACAATTCTAGTAAGTGGAAACCGTTTGCGTCGTGAAACACCTAAGGAGTTCTTTGAACAGCCGCAGATGAAGGATCTTGAAGTACTTGGTCTTTTTAAACCCACATTGGAACATCTTCTCCAGTCTTTAAGCAAACTCAATCAACTCCGAGTTCTTGTGATCAGGGACTATGATCTACTGCCAAGTATGGAGGAGCTTAAGGATCTACGAAGGCTTGAGGTTCTTGAAGTTTCCGGCGCTAGCTCTGTGAAAATTATCTCCGATGACGTCTTTCTGGCAGTGCCCAAACTTCAAAGTCTTAACCTCTCTGGACTTGGGATCATATCTTTACCAGCCAGCATTTCTCAACTAAAGCAGCTTTACAGTCTCATCCTAAGAGACATCTTCAACCTAGAAGCTCTCCCAACCATTGAGGGACTCAAAAGCCTCGAGGTCTTTGATGTTTGTGGGTGTACTAAGTTGCACAAAATCGAGGGGTCCTTTAAGGACATGTCTTACCTGCGTGAAGTTAATCTCTCTGGCACCAGAATAGAAGCCTTACCAGAGTTGCCATTGAAGAGCAGTATATGTTGTTCAAAGCTTTTTGTTCATGCAGACTCAAGAAGAATGATACATGATACTTGGAGCCAAGTAAAGGAAGCCATAACAAATGGGATGTCTGAGAGTCTTAGCTGTTCTGATATGGTCGACCGATTACAAGAAATCTCAAGAAAGGAGCCAGGAAGAGTGGATGAACTTTGGGCCTTTGATTGTCCTGAAAAGAAAGGTCGCGGCGCAGAACATTTTCGCCAAGGCCATAGATACAGGGATGTCTATATGAACACAATACCATTTGTTGATACCAAAAGTTATCAGGAAGTCCTTGAGATCCGAGGATCTAATGCCATAGATCAAGACAAGGAAACCTTAGCTAAGGCTGAGTTTGTGGTTTTTGTGGACATTGGCGCCGCAAGTCTTTCATCTATTTTCAATGATTTGAAATCAGTGAAAGGTTGTTGGGTGGAGATGTGCGGGGACATAGAGAATCTTTTCTCTGGTGTAGATGAGGAACGTCTCAGAAACCTGGAGACTTTGTCAATTACCAATCTTGGACGGCTAGAGAGTATATACAGCAGCAGCAGCTTCAAAAATTTGAAGAAACTAAACATAGATTGCTGCCCGAGTATTAAATCGCTTTTCCCGGACGCATCTCAGCTGCCTGGCAGCTTAGAAGTCTTGAAAATAAAGTCTTGTGAGAAGCTGGAGAATGTGTTTATCCAAGTCGTCGAGGTGCCGAATCTGCACACACTCTGCCTTTTTAAGTTGCCCATGCTATCCACTATTGGTGCTATGTTTCCTAAGCTGGTGACATGCAAACCAGACCAATGCCCAGAGTTGAAAACTGCAATCTTCATGGTGAGTCTAATGTTATGCCTATCACCACACTGCAGTGTGTTTTCAATCGTTGGGTCCTCTTGCTCGTGTTACTGTTTTGAAGTTCCTAAGTAGATAATAATCTTTTGCTAATATTTCTGGTTGCTTCTGTTTCCAGGACTGTGGAATAATAGCCTAGCACAATGAAAACACACAGCAGGAACTGAGGCAGGATCAAGCTTCCGAGCATTCTGTCCATGGATCCTTGTCCTAATCACGACCTGGCATGAATTTGTTTGTTTCATGAGGTCCCAGTTTGTATTATGGCGAGTCACATGCTCTGTTTTCTTGTTGGACCCCCAAGGGATCAATCTGTTTACTGCATTTTTCTTTGCCACCATTGCTACAAATTAAGTTAATCCAAATCCTAAACAGATACACTCTATATATTTTGGATTGAAACTGTTAAAGGGATAGAATCTGATGGAGCCAAGCTAACCAATCACATTCTAATACATGATCAACCATCTCATATAATCAGGTTACAACAGCCCCTTGCTCATGAACCACGAACCTTGATGTATAAAGCGTCTTCGAACAAGAGACGAATCCTCGATGGCTTTATCTATATATGTTTTGGCTTGTAGTTTTTTTATCTTTATCAATGGATTGATCAAAGTTGTTGAGAGGGAGAGAAGAGACTCCATAACATCTCTTTAGTTTAGGGTTTATCGTTTATGTTTGCATTTCTTTTGTATTTGGGATCTTTTGGTTAAGGAAACAAAGAGTTCTTATTGATTTGGGAGTTTGAGATTAAAAATCATATCAGACCCCCAAAGAAAAAACACGACGCACACACACACACAAGCAATTACAAGCTGTCAAAAGAGAAACACAACTGTAAGATTCCAAAAGAGAAACACAACTGTAAGTTTCCAAAAGAGAAACACAATTCAATTCTCTTATCATTAAAGATACCAAATCAACCAACCTCCACCAAATTGTTACGCAATATCTGTCAGATTAATTCAGTTTAGATGAAATTCCTCCAGTACCGTTGGACCTGAGTTTGAGCACAACACTAGTCATCTTGGTCAGATCTCCAGATTCCATTCCCATCGCAGGGAGTGAGACTAACTCTTGGACAGTTGTAGTTCTCAAGGAAAGTCAGCTTTGGGAAGTAGAGTTGCTTCAGCTCTATCCACCCTATCCTCAGCTTGGGGAGGGATGTGAGACGTAAAACATCAACAGCACATTCTGTTGCTTTCCCTGGCAAGTCGCCGAAACCCTTGAGCAATCTTCCTCCTCCAATGTGGAGCTTTTTCAAATGACGCAGATTGTGGGGATGAAGCCAAGTAGGAAGTTCTTTGTGCGGAAAACCCTGCAGGTCCAGTTTCTTTAACTGATCAGGAAGACTCTTTGTAAATTCCTTAGGCTTTTCAGCACGGGCGATGTTTAAATCCCTCTTCCATGTCACTTTCAAACTCGTCAGTGCTTTGAGCTTTATAAGATCTTCCATCAATTGGTGCACACTGATATCATCTCTGTGTATTTCGGTGCTGAGCTTTCTAAGCTTCTTCAATTTCTTCAAGTAATTCAGGTTGCACGCAACTCCCTCATAGCTGGTGTCACTAACCACAAAGCCCTTGAGAACCTCCAAATTATTCAGCAAAGCCAACCTCATGGGAATCCATTCCAACATTTGGCACCCTGTCATATCCAAGTACACCAGACTCTGGAGTGAATCCATCTTTTCTGGAAGTTTCACCAGGTAAGAGCACTCCCTCAGGTCCAAGACGATCAGCTTATGTAACTTACAAACCGAACTTTTTAGCCTTGTAATGGTTGAGATCCCTTGAAAACTCAAGACTCTTAGGTTCTTCATACGCTTTAAACATTTCATACGCTCAGGATACCGTACCTCAATGTATCGCTTCTGAGTTCTTTCCCATCTCCCCAAATAGAAGACATGGAGTGACGTGATGACTTTTCTGCTTGGTACCGAGAACC